CATATTCCACTGAGAAAATGTTATGCAGTGCTGCTACATCTGTTGTATAACAGCTAAGTATAAAGTTCAAATTTCTAGCTTGGTTAAAACATAAGGAAAGATCATAAGAACAGCACACAAAACTTCTCATTCCCCAAGAAAGTTGTGTACAGTCCACAGTTTGGCTGATGAACTCTGGTTGGAGATCCTTTTGTGTAAATATATCTGATAACTTAGAGTATTTATTCCTCCTTCTGTCGGTTAAATTGATGAATGTACAACTCATGACTGAATGACAGTGTAAAGAGGTTTTGAAATATTTGTTTTTTAATTATTTATCAAGTTTTTACTTGTTATGTGATCTGTATTTACTAAAAGTGTGCCCATTTTAGGTTTTTGTCTTGATTTTTGTTGTCTGATTTTCAATGCAGCAGTTGCCTGATCCAGGATGATTTTCTCCTATGGGAGACAATAATCTTATCTTCCACCCATCTATTTTCTTCCACTTATCCAATTTCAGAGTCATGGTTGGTCTGGAGCCTATACCAGCTGCCAAAGGGTAATAGGCAGGGTATGCTGTTCCTAGTCCGTTGCAGGACTGACGCAGGGAGACAGATAACCATGCACATCTAGAGCCAATTTAGAATCACCAGTTAACCTAACAAGCATGTCTTTGGACTCTGGGAGAAAGTCAGATTAAGCAGAAGGAACCCATACAGACAAACTCCACTCAAACAGACCATAGCCAGCAAAGTAGATTCGAACTCAGAACCTTCTTGCTGTGACACTACAGTGCAAACCACCATTCCACCCTTCCTCTGTCTCAGTTTGTCTTAAATAACAACATATATAAGTGCATTACAGTTTGCTTGTAGGATATAAAGGGCTGTAATATAAAGAAGGCCAGCTTGCATCCATGTATCAGCTCTCTCTGTCAGCTAATCTCCACCAAAAATGCATCATAATAAAATATGGGACATGAGCTGATCATACGGGACGTTATTATGGCAAGCAAGTTAACCGGAAATTGTTTTTGTCTAAATGTATCCTGGTTATATTTGATCATTAGTGTTGGAAATCATGCTATACAGACTGCTTGCAGTAAAAACTGTGCACCTGCTGCCCCAGCCACACTCTTTATTACTTGAGAGCAACAGGATGCAAAAAGGAAAGCTACACCATCTGCATATACTGTAATAAATCTTTCTTTGCACTGTTATAATTGCATTAGTAAATGCACAAAACAGCAGGCTGTTTTGCAGATGTCTTGCAGGTGCAATGTAATAACAGCTGGAGTTATAAAAATAACAATGATCACAAGTCCTGTAAGTGAGATATTCCAAAGCAGGGGAAATTTGACAGATCGTACACGGTGTTCTCTCACAAACATACAGTATCTGTTAAAATCACACAAGACTCTTACACATGCAAGTTGCAACAACTACAAAGAAAAGGAGGAAATACTAAATGTGAGTGCATGATTCATAGAACATCACTTGATGAAGTCCATCATCTCAAGACTGTCCTCTCACGATGCCTGCAACTGATTAATGTCAGCAATTAGCTTCGGAGCAAAACCAAAAGGCTGAAAATGAATGAAAATGAGTAAAAGGAATTTACAAGTATGCACCTCACAAAAGTACAGAAGTACCTCATGCAAAGTCATCCCACATAGCTGTATTTCAAAAGGAGGAAGCACCGACGATGGCTGTGGAAGAAAAGGTGGTTTTGAAAGAATGTTTTAAGCCACTTCTGTGTTTGCATTAGCCAACAAAAGACTCATATTAACCATCTTACATCAATTGGCTGTTGTTCACATAACTCAAACAGTAATCCTTTAACAGCCCAGTGGATATCAGGGATAAAGAGAATTCACAAGATCTCTTGAACAGCAATTTTTACTGGTAAAGTAGATTCTTGTGAACATTTATTAAATAACCAAAAACTTTGCAATACAAAAATGACACTCTTATAGTTGTCTGTGGTTGTGGATGTCTGTAAAAGCCTTGAGTCTACAAAGATGAAAGTGGGAGGCTAGGGTGTTGCACAGATCCAAATCTCTGCTTTTTAAAGTAAATGTGTGATGTTACTAAAGGGCAAATTTTGCATGAGTTGGTAATTCCAGGAAAATCAAAGATCTTTGGTATCTGCTCCGCAGTGATGTACATCTATTCCTTGTGGTTTCCAGGAAACATCGTTAGCAGAAGGGTTACAGCAGCAGAAAACCACAGTGGGTGTCACTTCTGTCGGCTAAGAGCAGGAAATTGAGGCGATCGTTTTTACCAACCCCTAACAGTATTGTGTGGTTTGATGACTTTTGATTTCTCCAACAAAACTACAAGGTAGAGTCTTAAATTTGGCATAAGCAATATGAAAGCATGGATCCATTGTGCCTTTTTTTCAACTGTTCAGGCTAGTGATGGTGGTGTAGTGGTGGGGGGAATTGTCAGTATGATCACAGTGTACTCGTATTCTGAAGATTAATTCCAGTAGGATAACTCTATAGTCACAAAGCTCAATTCATCTAAAACTGGTTTCTTGCACATGACAATCAATTCACAGCTACCAAAAACAAAATCTCTGCGGGAGGCAATTCTGAAGGCAAAAGAGGGTCCAAACGAGTAGCAATGTTTATCTAATGATTTGGCCGTTATCTAATAATAACAGTTACAATTTGTTCGTGTGAGCGTATAGCTCACATAAACAAATTTTAACTGTTATTATTTTTTTAATTTATTTATTTTGTATGATTTTAATCCCGCCCTTAGGAGACTAGTGATTTTTGTTTTCTAGGCAACGTTATTCCTCGTTTTGTTCCTTCGTTTATTTAGCATTATCCCCGACACCTGCTACACCAGTGTTAATGTCCTTAAATCTACAAACAAAGTTACCGTGTATAGAAACTGCGCTGGATGAACGTCACGTGCTGTTTTCTTACGTGTATTTTACAGAGAAATATGCGGTAAATTGAAGGAAAGGGGTGGGCAGGGGACCTGACATCCCATTAAGTTGCAGACTCTTTGGTGGAGACTTCAGAGATTAAAAACAATCAGAGCACGCAGCTTCCCTTTCCGACTACAGCTGTGCGCGGAGCTTCGTCGACTGCTTCATGTGATTTACAACTTGAAAACATCAGGAGGTAAAGTTTGTATTCCTTCGTGTATTATTAAAGCCACAATTAAACAAGTACTAGGGTACTTTAAACGAAAACTAAAGGATTTTAGTCGCTTGTTTTCGTGCATTTTTAAGCGAAAAACAACTTTAATCATCGTTTAGATGACGATGATATGTTATTGTTATTCGTTGTGTTAGTATGGGTGATTAATTATATATTTTACAATGTTTTAAAGGCAAACATACGTGTTTTTATTTGTTTTTTATTTGTTTGATTTGTTTTTGGTTACGCACTGGCATCTCAAAATGTGTCATGTGAGCAGAAATGTGTCTTTTTCGTGTATAGAAGTATAACACGGTCAGTCTTTGTCAGTAGTTGACTTGGTATTTTTTCTTGTCTTTATTTTTCAGTAATTCTCCGTGAAGACTGAGACAGTTTGGGCAGCAATGTCTCAGCTGTACTATAAGAAAGCTGACAGCTCCACGTACAGGGACCGCATCCCTCTGCGGATCGTGCGGGCAGAATCGGAGCTCTCTGCTCTGGAGCGGGCCTACCTGGGGGCTGTAGAGAAGGGGGACTACGCCAGCGTGAAGCAAGCTCTGGAAGAGGCTGAGATCTACTTCAGGATCAATATCAACTGCGTTGACCCCCTGGGACGCACAGCTCTGCTCATTGCTATTGAAAACGAGAACCTGGAGATTATTGAGCTGCTCCTCAGCTTTAATGTACACGTGGGTGATGCCCTGCTACATGCCATCCGTAAAGAGGTAGTGGGGGCCGTTGAGCTGCTGCTCAACCACAAGAAGCCACGTGGGGAAAAGCAGGTACCATCTGTTTAGTTATTGCTGACCTTTGAACATACTGATTTTTTTTTAATTAATTAATTTGTTCAGCCTGGCATTGAGAAAATCTGCGAGCCTCATGTGGTTAATGTACATTATATTATATTATATTTTGTAATGTATTTGCATAAAGACATGTTGTGGCAATGAGTTTACTATACAAGGTTACATTTGAGCAGAAGTGTCTCAGTGTCTTACTACAAGTTACTAATTATTATATGATTATATTTGTATACAGAAATATGTTGTTAAATATTTGTATATAAACTCCTCATATGTTTAAGTAGGAGTAGTGAGAAAAATCATTTTATTTTCTAGTCTGACTCTGAAAGAGATAAGATGCAAATAAGTGTGTTCTTTGCCCTTGTATTCTAGCTACGACTGGATGATTTAGGGAATAAAGCTATTATCTTCTCTCATAAGTTACCGAACCCCTATTCTGTGGGCCTTTCTGCTACAGCTTTTACAACAAATTAGCCATTCTCCACAGTCTGCTTATCAGACTCTTTGAGAAAGGCCCCGCTTGTGTTCAGCTTCTTGACATCTTTGTAAATTAGGTCTTCCAGTACTGCTTGCTTCTCTCTATGTATTCTGTGAAAAGGGAAAAACAGGGTGTTGCTTCCAACCAGGAAGTCACTTTGAGGCCAGCTGAACCACAAGCCATTAGTTGTGTGCTTGCTGTTAGACAAGATGGTTAGAGACTGAAGACAAATGAAATTAGATCCAGTCAAAGAGTTGTTTCAGTTCCTGCGAGAGGTTTAAAAGCATTGTACTTTTGTGATAAAATGTTTGTGTACCGTAAATGCATTATTTTATGTCAATTCATTTGTGTGTTGCTCTGTTGGTTTCTTCAAAAGGTTCCATCGGCTCTGCTGGACAAACAGTTTTCAGACTTCACCCCAGACATTACTCCGATCATCTTGGCAGCTCAAACTAACAACTATGAGATCATCAAACTGCTCTTGCAGCGAGGTGTTTCTATACCCCAGCCACACGCTATACGTTGTAACTGTATGGAGTGTGTGTCCAGTTCAGACGTGGATGTCCTGCGTCACTCCCGTTCTCGTCTAAATATCTACAAGGCCCTTGCCAGCCCGTCGCTCATTGCCCTCTCAAGCGAGGATCCTTTCCTCACGGCATTTCAGCTTAGCTGGGAGCTGAAGGAGCTCAGCACGGTGGAGAACGAATTTAAATCAGAGTATGAAGAGCTGTCCCGTACATGTAAACAATTTGCAAAGGACCTCTTGGACCAGACTCGTAGTTCCAGAGAGCTGGAAGTAATCCTCAATTACCGTGACAACATCAACCCGTTGCTGGATGAGAACATTAATGAGCTGGCCCGACTGAAACTGGCTATCAAATATTCCCAGAAAGAGGTGAGCTTTTATTTGATTTTGATGTGGTCTTTGTCACATTGGAACAAAACGTTTTTTTTCTGGATATTTTTAAGGTGAAAAAGACATGAATACAGAATTATACAGACATGAATAATACATGAATTTGTCTACACCAGTGCACATGCAGATTGGCAACAAGTAATAAGAATCACCCTATTTGAAGATGACAAGAAATGCGCCAAGATGAGCTGTAAATGGCCTGGGTGGAGATGTCCTGTGGGAGTTTAGAGCAATATGTAATTGCCAGGCTGGCTCTTAGCGATGCATTACAGTAACCCTCTTAGAGAATCCCACGATAATTGGATAATTGAGGATAATGATGGGAGAAGTAATGGCCATTTCCCTGAAATACAAACTCATAATATTTTAAACTGGGTGGGGACCTTTTAGTGTCTTTTAACATATTCTCTGGATATTTATCAATTACATACCAGTTTTGTATTATTTGCTACAAATGAAAGAAAACCCTACTAATAATTAGATACTGTGGCATCCACACAAAGATCTGTGTCATTCATAATTATATGTATATTAAATTTATATTGGAGTATAACAGTACATTGCATGAATATCAACCTAACACAGAGCAGGTGACAACAAGTTTTTAAAAGGTGGTGCTTTTGGTGTCAGGTCACAACATGTAACTTTTTTTCACACCTAAACGGCGGATAGTGTTGGGAGAATCCAGTCACCCTCAGACTCTGTTTTGTTTTGCTAAGGGTGGTGTCTCTGTAGAGCATGTATAGAGGCAGAGGCAGGTCACCTGACCCCACCTGCTCCCTGTGAATTCGCCTGACAGTGATCGGTGCTATTGTCACATCAGTGCATCACACAGCGTTTATATCAGGAAGCTGTTAGAGTAAACACCAGTTAATGTTCAATCCACCTGGCATTCATGTTTTCACGTGCAGCTCTTTCTGGTATATGGTTTAAGTCGACTTGCACTGTTACAAATTCAGGATTGCTTTGTTTGTTTTGGTGTTTCCTGGTTAACAGACTGGAATATAAAGTACACATTGCGTGCACTCAGCGGGTGTCTTTCATTTATTCCACTCATTAGAGAGGCCGTGTGGAGCTTTTGGGTCTTGTTTGTGTACAGCAGTTGTATAGTATTTGCAGAGTTAATGGCTCATACCACCCATGTAGTGTTAGAATTGAGGCTTTAAGAGTCAGCAGAGTTTTTTGATGGCACAGTTGGTGACATGAATAAGAAAGATCAGTATGACTGCCAACAGTTCTGTGTGCTACAATTTATCTCCATGGAAAAGGCTTTAGACAGGCCTTCCTACTAATTTTGTTTATCTAATCATTTGACCTAAATGAACTCCAGTGAGCCTGAAGTGAGAACAATGATCTTGGTAAGAAAAAGAAAAATATTTTTTTTTCTTTCTTTTTTTAAAAACATTTTTGACATTTGATTTTCAGCTTATGTGATTATTTGTAAATTCTACATCAGCACATTTTAAAAATAAAAAAGCATTATATTTAATGGGCCTTACAGAAAACTGAACTGATGATAAAAAGTAGTTCCCATTACCCCCAACCATGGTGTCTCCCTCTGGAACCTGGTTCTGCCCGAGGTTTCTTCCTCTTAAAAGGTGGTTTTTGCTTCCACTGTTTATTGCTCATAGGGGGTCTCTGTATTATTTTGTATTATGTTACCTTGTCATGACACAAGGTAACATTTTTCCAATATTCTGGTGACTTGATTTTAACTTTGTGACATGCAGAGTTATCCTGATGGAAGGAATCATCAAAAATGGGTACACTGTGGTCATAAAGGGATGAACATGGTCAGCAATAACACTGAAGTACACTGTGGTGTTTAAATGCTGATCGCCCACACCATACGCCACTATCACTAACCTGGACTGTTGAAAAGCTATGCTTTCATGTTGCTTATGCCATATTCTGACCCTACCATGTCTAGTCTATCACTTCAAAGCCATCTGGCCATCCTCCTCAGCCAACTGTATCAGAAAATTGCTTTTTACTGGATATTTTGCTTTTTTTTTCTTTTTGTATCATTCTCTGTGCACAGTAGAAGAGTCTGTGTGGGAAAATCCCAGTAGATCAGGAGTTTTCTCAGACCACCCTGTCTGACACCAACAGCCATGTAATATTAAACGTCACTTAAATCATTTCTAATTCTTGTGCGCATTTAAACCTCAGCAAGTTGTTCTGGCCATGTCTGCATGCCATGAGTTGTTGCCATGTTTGCCATCATTAGAAATCTTTGTTGTAACATGTTGTGCACATGTACCTAATAGAGTGGCTCATGAGTGTAGAATATCATTGTTTATTAATAATAATAATAGCAATTATCATAACAATTCAGATTAAAAAGACAGACACAGAGCCATGTGAGTCAAGGATTTAAAAAAATTATATTAAATATTAATTGGACTTACACAAACAAGAACTTGTTTGATGTCAGCAATATTAGGATCGTGAAAGTCTTCTTTCTTGTATTCTTTGGAGATTTCTCTGGAGGTTTCTTTTCTTGCTACTTGCTGTGCTCACTCTGCTTTTGCACATTTTCCTCTAAACCTGAGCTCAAACTCCAAATCCAAAGTGTTAAGTGTTTAAAAAGTACAAAATATATTTAACTGATTTTGAATTTTGGATTCTCACTACAGTAACTATTAAAAATAGTGGTAGTGTTATCTGTGAATTTTTAGATAATAGAGTGAATATCAATGTTCTATATGATGTAATTTGCAATATATTGTGAAATAGAAGTAAGAACACTAATTGATGTAGGAGTCTAGCGTGAGATCTGTGTAGGGTCATTTTCACCTTCAAAAAATGTCCCCATACAAAATCTGTTCCTTCCAGATGCCTCGATTTGCCTCCGGTCATTTTATGTCAAGTTCAAATCTGTCCAGGACAGTTACTGAAGGAAACTTTGAAAAGGCAGATTCTGCACTGATAGATGATCTCATCACCCGCAACAAAATGCTTTTTAGTACCATAATTGGGATCCATTTAGCCATAACTGGGTTACGCTGAAATTGAATTCCATCACCATCTGCAGATGTCCAACAGACTTTTATATCAAATCTCATAGAGCAGAGAAAATGTGCATGGGGAAAAGATTTGGCAATCATTTCTTAACAGAGCGTTGAACATCACTTTAAAAATACCTTTTAGAAACTCTTTGTCTTGAATGAATGTTTCTAGTCGTTTTGCAGTTCTTGATCTTTTGTGGCAAAAAACTTGCACATCTTTTGTGTACCATTAATTACCCTTTTTTTCTGTTTAGTCAGTTTTTGGTTGGACCTGAGAGACAGATGGGTAAATAAAAAACAATCTATTTCATGTAAACATCTTTAATCTTTATTTGTCTCTCTCTTTGTCTCCTAGTTTGTTGCTCAGCCCAACTGCCAGCAGCTGCTGGCGTCTCGCTGGTATGATGAATTCCCAGGCTGGAGGAGGCGTCACTGGGCAGTAAAGCTCATCACTTGTATCTTCATTGGCCTTATGTTTCCACTGTTATCCATCTTCTACCTGATCGCTCCAAAGAGCCGCTATGGCTTATTCATCCGTAAGCCTTTCATCAAGTTCATCTGTCACACTGCTTCCTACCTGACCTTCCTCTTCCTGCTCTTCTTGGCCTCGCAGCATTTACAGAGCGATGATCGGTTGGAACACCGTCAGGGCCCATCACCCACCATTGTGGAGTGGATAATCCTGCCCTGGGTGCTTGGTAATAATACACACACATATTGCAGACTCTTTTTTTAGACTGCACTCCTGTGTACATGAACACTGTAGTCTAAGCAGAGGTTTGTCACATGATTTCATTCATTGCGTCTCATGTGTGTTTGCCTCTGGACAAATACCTGAGCAAAAATACAACAATGACACATCTTATTTTCATTCCTTGAAGGCTTTTTATGGGCTGAGATCAAACAGATGTGGGATAGTGGTTTTGAGGACTACATAGATGACTGGTGGAACCTGATGGATTTCATAATGAACTCTTTGTATCTTGCAACAATTTCACTGAAGATTGTTGCCTATATTAAGGTAATTTATATTAAAGGCTTCTATCTGTCTGTCTGTCTGTTTTATTTATTACTTTGTGCTGGAGCAAGCATCATGCCGGAAAAATTGACATTGTGTGCTATCAATATTGAGCATGTCTGACTATTGTTCTTTTTTTTCAACAGTACGGTGCAAAGTGCCAGTTGAGAGACACCTGGGAAACGTGGCACCCAACGTTGGTGGCAGAGGCATTGTTTTCCATCGCCAATATTTTCAGCTCCTTGCGTCTCATTAGTCTTTTCACTGCCAACTCTCATTTGGGGCCTTTACAGATTTCATTGGGCCGCATGCTTCTGGACATACTTAAATTTCTCTTCATCTACTGTCTAGTGCTGCTAGCATTTGCCAATGGCCTCAACCAGCTCTATTTTTACTATGAAACAAATAACGGGACTTGCAAGGGCATCCGCTGTAATCAGCAAAACAACGCTTTCTCCACGCAAGTTGAAATTCTTACATAAATTACCCCTGAAAATCTGACTTGATTAATATGTTTGTTTTTCCAACAGTGCATGCTGTGATGTATGGTTGTGTTCTTTTTAGGCTATTCGAAACACTGCAGTCATTATTTTGGTCTATCTTTGGGCTGATTAACCTGTACGTGACGAACGTGGAGCCGGACCATACATTCACAGAATTTGTCGGCTCTACCATGTTTGGCACCTATAATATCATCTCCCTGGTAGTGCTTCTAAACATGCTAATCGCAATGATGAACAACTCATACCAGCACATTGCTGTAAGTAGCAAAATAAAGATTACACAATTATTTATTTCCCATTGGAGTTATCAAAATAATCTGCCTAATCTGCTCTATGAATTGTTTGTGTTTCTTTTCAGGATCATGCAGACATAGAGTGGAAATTTGCACGAACAAAATTATGGATGAGCTATTTTGAAGAAGGGGGAACTTTGCCATCTCCATTCAATTTAATACCCAGTCCAAAGTCAGTTTATTATCTAATTGGATGGATAAAAACACATTTGTTTAGGAGACCGAGCACAAACCGTCTTGAAACCTTTGAAACTTTGGGGGTAAAGTGTTTCCAGAGATTTTCTCTGACCTGTACTGTCACCACTGCATGTCATACATTTTCATGCATGCCTGTTTATACCCTGTCTACTATTACAGCCTCTAAGTGGCTTCGAAAATGAATTCATCCATGTTAATGTGTGTCAAACGATTACCTATTGAAAAAGAGCAAGTAAGAAAAAAAAATCACCTAATCAGTGAAAATGGAAATAACCTGGTGCTGTCTTAATGAGCCTTTTGTTTTTCTTGTAATTGCAGAGACGTGCAGCTGGAAATGTAAAATTAAGCCATGAGTATCAGGTAATAATTTGTATTATATTGTACTGTATTGTTTATTATTTTTGTTGTTTTTTTTAACTATCCTATTTCGATTAAATGTAAATGGTTAAATGTAAACATAACTCTTCGCTTGTTTAAAAATAATGTGTTTTAGGAGGTTTTGAAGAACCTCATGAAACGATATGTGGCTGCAATGATTAGAGATGCCAAGACAGAGCAGGGGTTGACAGAAGAAAATTTCAAGGTAGCATAAAATTCTTTATCATTTAAACTTAAATACCCAGTTGTATTATGTTTTCCATATATTTTTTCCACTGTTTAATCTCAGATTCCCAATAATTGATAGGAGCTCAAACAGGATATCTCCAGCTTTCGCTTTGAAGTTCTGGGAATGATGAAAGGTAAACCCGGGCTAGCAGGTAATATTGCAAGTACTACCTTGGCTTACCCTGGAAATCCATTCAAATATTCTCCTAAATTCCCTATTGATGAGTCTCAACAGAAGCAGGACATCTTTGATATGTTCACTGCCACTACCAACACTACCAACACCACCCTACAACCTGCCAAAATCACCAGGTCTGCTTGCTTTAATAGCCAAACCAGTGGTTCAGTTATTTTGTCTACTGCAGGACAGACTCAAAATGAGGCTGCCACAGAAGATTCAAACACTGGATCCCTTCACAAAAGGAAAAAACTCCCTTCTCTGAAATGTGATGAAATATGTTCATTGCCAGAGGAAGAAATGTTGGGTACTGATGAAGAAACGCAAGGAAAACATCAGACTGAGGACATAATTGTGGACGTTTCACAGACTGATGAGAAGGAATTCAAGGACATTAAACCTTCTTGCAAAGAACTTGATAAGGATGGGCCGACATAATATAAAAATTAATCTGCCAGCAAGTAAAACTTAAAATAGTTTATTGAAATAAGTTTGCTTGTGATAAACTGTACTGTAGTAAATTACCTATTCTGCTTAATCATGAATTCTATCCAGCGTATAATGGTATTAGAAAATCACAAATTAAGATAAGATAAGATAAGATAACCTTTATTAGTCCCACACGTGGGAAATTTGTTTTGTCACAGCAGGAAGTGGACAGTGCAAAAGTTATGAAGCAAAAATTTGAATACAATAAGAATAAATACAGTACACAACTGTACAGAATAGAATAAAATAAAATACTATATACAGTAGAATAAAATATAATAAAATATACAATAAGATAAAAATAGAATACAAATGCTATATACAACTGAGTAAAAATACAACGATGCCAGAAAAGATTATTGCACATTAGTGTTATTGCACGTTTGTGGATGTGTGTGTTTGATCAGTTAAAGTCTTTGTTGTGGAGTCTGACAGCAGTGGGGAGGAAAGACCTGCGAAATCTTTCCGTCCCACACCGTGGGTGCCGCAGTCTCCCACCGAAGGAGCTGCTCAGTGCTCTCAGAGTCTCCTGCATGGGGTGGGAGATGTTGTCCAACAGGGATGACAGCTTAGCCGCCATTCTCCTGTCACTCACCACCTCCACTGGGTCCAGAGGGCATCCTAGAACAGAGCTGGCCCTTCGGATCAGCCTGTTCAGTCTCTTCCTGTCCCCAGCAGAGATGTTGCCACCCCAGTAGACCACACCGTAAAAGAGTCATAGAAGGTCTTCAGGAGTGGGCCCTCCACTCCAAACGACCTGAGTCTCCGCAGCAGGTACAGCCTGCTCTGCCCTTTCCTGTAGAGAAATTACACGTCATGCATACAACCACAAAAATATGTGGTGAGGACAGGCGTCAGTGCCAACTTGATGCTCAAGCAATTGCCAAACATATTACTAATTTATGTTTTAAACTGAGCAATTCATTCCAAAGAATCCTTAAAACCCGCTGCCTATCTTCTACTCTTTACTCTTTGCCTGCTTACTATGCTATGCAAAAATACTGTATCTTATCCAGTTATTTGTACGAAAGAAATAATCAATCATTGTATTCAGTACTGGATCTAATTTGAAATTTAATCATTCTATCAAGTACAAAAGCACCTTCTCTCCTACACTGGGAGGTGTAAGGGAAAGCTTTTTTCTTATTTTTGCAGTTGTAGCAGAGGATGTAATCTAGATGATGTAATCTAGATTTGGTCCGGTAGCAACTGTTGTAACCTTGCAGGCAGTGTTGTGGACTAGTGAACTACATTTAACTTAATTTATAGTTTAACTTATTTTGCAATAACTTTCAGTTGATCCACAATAATGTAAGCACTTCATTTTTATGTTTTTGTGGGTGCTTAGCTGTTAAAGCTATAACTTTGACCCATTTATTTAGACAGTTTTACGATGGCAGTCAACCAGCTTTTAAACTAGGTATAGCAGGGTGGTATTGCCCAGCGTTCACTAAGCAACATCGTCAGTGATAAAAGTGATGTTTTTTTTTTTCAGAAGAGTTTTACATGCTGTTTCATCCCCACCTGGAGTTCCTAGGCAACTGTGTGATGGCCAGTGTGCCGGTGTGTGCAATGATTTTTTTTTAAAA